GTCCCCAACTCAGATGTTGGACACATTTGGACTTCTGATGATCTTTAACGTGAGAGACTCCTTTCTTTTCTCAAGATTGATAATCTGATCATAGAACTCATATTTGCCATAAGAGTTCAAATATAACTGGATTAGGGACAGGCAATGGAAGGGTCACCTAGGAAGATCAGGTCTTGTGTGAGTGTGGAGGCAGGAGGAGACACAACCGTTATCATGCCCTTTCCATGAGATCATTCCTTCCCACATTCTTTCCCTCAGGACATCAGCGTGTTCAGCCTAGAAGGGACACTAAGGTAAATATCCAGATTTTGTTTTTGTTTTTATTGTGCAAGCATGGTTGATCAAAATATTGATCACAAGATTTGATTCAAGTTTCAGATTTTTACTTGCCAAAGTTTGGGTTGATGAAAAGTTCCAGTCTTATAAGCACCATTAAATGTCAGTTTTGCCCAGTGAGCATCTGCCATCCTGAAATGCTGTTACCATGTGAGGTTTTCTAGGGTCTTGCAGTGGTTAATATATTTTGTATGTTTGTCCTATTTATTATTTGCTTCACTCTGCACCCTTGGCTCTCTACAGCAGAGCATAAGTTTGTTTTGTATGTTAGTGTATTTTCTGTACCTAAAGCATTAGTTGGCAACCAGAGAGATTACAAAAAATAAAAGTATTGAATCAATAAATGATAGTTGCCACAGAATACATACTACGGTTTTTAGCAAACATCACAAATTGTGTCAGTTTGCAGTTATGTGCTGACATTTTGTCATTTTGAGTGATATAAAATAATCAGTAACTGATACAACTTATCACAGATAGTATTTTGAAGGAAATTTTTTTTTGTGTTCATTTATTTTATTATATAACTTTCCCTCATGAGAAGTGGTATATCGTAAGAGGGGTTCCATGGAGGTAGGACTACAGTACTCTAGACAGAGGTTTTCAACTTGTGGGTCACATATCAGATATCCTGCTAATCAGATATTTACATTATGAGTCAAAACAGTAGCACAATTATAGTTATGGGTAGTAGTGAAATAATTTTATGGTTGGGGTCACCACAACATGAAGATTTGTATTAAGGGGTCGCGGCATCAAGAAGGTTGAGAGCCACTGTTCTAGCACGTTCTTTTAAGTAGTATTTGAGGTGTGGTCCTATGTCTGAAATTAGAATCTGAATCCCAACAAATACTTGTCACAATTAGGTTTCTTTCCCAGTCACTGAAGCCATTATTTTTAGCTTGGTATGGTGGTTGCCTCTTCTTCGACCTAGCCAGTCGTCGTCATATACGTAGACCTGGAGAATGAGACGACGCACTGAAACTCTGTATACCCCATTGTTAGGAATTTTCCTTAGGATCACCTTCATACATTTCAGGAAGTTTCCACTGCCCTGGGTTTCTGGATGCCTCACCATTCTCAATTTCAAGTTATACTACAAAGCAATAGTAATAAAAAACGCATGGTACTGGCATAAAAACAAACACGTGATCAACGGAATCAAATTGAAGACCCAGACAGAAATCTACACACATATGGACATATAATTTTTGATAAAGAAGCTAGAAATACACACTGGAACTCCCTCCCAGCATGTTTAACAAATGTCATTGATAAAATTGGATGTCTGCATGTAGAAGAATGAAAACCCATCTATACTACTCACGCTACTCAAAACTCAAGTCCAAGGAAATCAAAGACCTTAACGTAAAAGCAGATACACTGAATGTGATAAAAGAGAAAGTGAGGAATGCCATTGCATACATTTGGCACAGGAAATAGCTTTCTGAACAGAATATAGACAGCACAGGCACTAAGATTAATGATTAATAAGTGGGACCTCATGAAACTGAAAATCTATTGTACAGTCAAGGACACCGTCATTCAGACAGCAGTGGTCTACATAATGGGAAACGATTTTTACCAACTACATGCGGTGGGACAATGGTCTTTATTCCTGTCACTTGTATTATTTTTAATAAAATTCTTATTGGCCAGTAGCCAGCCAGCAAGTATAGGTGGGATGATGGCAATTAGGCAGGAAGTAGAGGCATGGCAATGAGAATTCTGGGAAGAGGGAAGCTCAGTCTTCAAATCATGACCTAGCTGCAGAGAAAGCAAGATGTGACTGCCTCACTGAAAAAGGTACCAAGCCACATGGCTAACACAGATAAGAATAGTGGGTTAATGTAAGATGTAAGAATTAATTAATGAGAAGCCTGAACTAACAGGCCAACCAGTTTGTAATTAATGTAGACCTTGGTGTATTTATTTGAGACTAAAAAGCTGCAGGAACTGGGCAGGACAGAAGCCTATGTCAACAACTACACATCTAATAGAGGGCTAATATTCAAAATATATAAAGAATTCGAGAAATTAGACATTAAAAAAAACAAATATCCAGTTAAAATAGGAAACAGATATAAACAGAGAATTCTCAATAAAGAAAACTCAAATAGCTAAAAAACATTTAAGGAAATATTCAACACCCTTAGCCATCATGGAAATGCAAATCAAAGCTTTGAGATTCCATTTTACCCCTGTCAGAGTGACTACTAAGTCAATAACACAAGTGACAACTTGTGCTGGTAAGAATGTGGAACCAAAGGAAAAGCATATAGTTGTTCTCTTGGCTATGGGGAATAGACAAAATTGCCGGGGAGAAAATTGAGATCTTGGGGGTGGGGTGGGATGGGGGTAAGGGGAGATGGGGAGAGAGAGGGGATAGGGGGAGAATTGGGGGAGCTTGGGGAAGGGGGAGGATTGGGATGAAGGAAGGTTGGATGGGGGAGCACGGAAGCACGGTTCTTAGTTAAGGGAGCCACCTTAGGGTTGGCAAGAGACTTGAACCTAGAGTGGCTCCCAGATGCCCAAGCCGAGGTCCCCAGTTAGTTCCTTGGGCAGCTGAGGATGGGGAACCTGAAATGACCCTATCCTATAGCAATACTGATGAATATCTTGCATATCATCATAGAACCTTCATCTGGTGATGGATGGAGACAGAGACAGAGACCCACACTGGAGCACTGGACTGAGCTCCCAAGGTCCCAATGAGGAGCAGAAGGAGGGAGAACATGAGCAAAGAAGTCGGGACCACGAGGGGAGCACCCACCCACTGAGACAGTGGAGCTGATCTATTGGGAGCTCACCAAGGCCAGCTGAACTGTGACTGAAAAAGCATGGGATAAAACTGGACTCTCTGAGCATGTCGAACAATGAGGGCTGATGAGAACCCAAGGACAATGGCACGGGGTTTTGAACCTACGTAATGTGCTGGCTTTGTGGGAGCCTAGCCAGTTTGGATGTTCACCTTCCTAGAAATGGACGGAGGGGGGAGGACCTAGGACTTACCATAGGGCAGGGAAATCTGACTGCTCTTTGGGCTGGAGAGGGAGGGGGAGAGGAGTGGGGGGAGGGGGAGAAGGGTGGGAGGAGGGGGAGAAGGGTGGGAGGAGGGGGAGGGAAATGGGAGGCTGGGAGGAGGAGGAAATTTGTTTTTTTTCTTTTCTCAATAAAAAAAATGAAAAAAAAATAAATAAAAAAAATTCTAAAAAAAAAAAAAGAATGTGGAGCAAGGAGAACAGGCCTCAATTGCTGGTGGGAGTACAAACTTGTACAGTAACTTCGGAAATCAAAATGGCAGTTCCTCAGAAAGTTGGGAATTGATCTACCTCCAGACCCAGCTATACTACTCTTGGGTATATACCAGAATGCTTTCCATCTTACCATGGGAACACTTGCTCAACTATGTTCATTGTTGATCTATTCATAATGCCCAGAAACTGGAAATGACCTAGATATCCCTCAACCAAAGAATGGATAAAGAAAATATGGTACATTTGCACAATGGAGTATTACTCAGATGTTTAAAAAAAACCATTAAATTTGCAAGTAAATGGATGTAACTATAAAAAAAATTCCCGAGTGAGGTAACCCAGACCCACTAAAATAAATATGGTTTGTATTCTCTTAAAAGTACATATTATCCATTAAGTATATGCTACAATCCAGGGGAAATACATGGGTCTCCCTGGGAGGGGAAAATAGAATAGATTTTATGGCTGACTAGGGGTTGGTGAGAATGGGATTTGGGGGATCAGGAAGGGGGCTGATGGGGTTGAGGGAGAGAGTGCAGGGAGAGATGATTAGAACTGAGGGGCATTTGGGGTTTGGTGTTGAAACTTTGTGCAATGTAACGCAATTCTAAATTACTTTTTAAAATGTTTCCCACTTAGCCGGGCGATGGTGGCGCACGCCTTTAATCCCAGCACCCGGGAGGCAGAGGCAGGCGGATCTCTGTGAGTTCGAGACCAGCCTGGTCTACAGAGCTAGTTCCAGGGTAGGCTCCAAAGCCACAGAGAAACCCTGTCTCGAAAAAGCAAAAAAAAAAAAATGTTTCCCACTTAAGATAACCCTAGCAATGCATTGTGAGTCTTATAACTTCACATTTAGAAGGTTTTGGAAGAGTTGCTGTTAAAGTTGTTTCTGGTGGTGACTTGTCTGGTATAACTTGGAGATTTCGATACTTGTGTGGATGCCAACATTTATGTGTAGCCTTATAGGAAGAACTTCACATATAAATGGTTTTCTTTTAAGGTCCAAAACTGGAAAAGGTTCTTTCTACACTGAGACTTTCTACTGTTATACGTGAATCCTCCAAAAGTTATTTTGAGATGATAAGTATGGATGTTTCTTCATAAACTTTTTTTTTAACAAAAAAACCTCTTCCCCTTTTTTATTGTTTTTATTGAGCTATATGTTTTTCTCCACTCCCTTCCCTTCCTCCTCCTTCCCCTTTTACCCTTTCCCATGGTCCTCATGCTCCCAAATTACTCAGGAGATCTTGTCTTTTTCTATTTCCCATGTAGATTAGATCCATGTATGTCTTTCTTATGGCCCTCCTTGTTGTCTAGGTTCTTTGGTGTTGTGAATTGTAGGCTGGTTTTCTTTGCTTTATGTCTAAAAGCCACGTATGAGTGAGTACATTTGATGTTTGTCTTTCT